ATAGTTGTATTCCCTCTAGATCTCCGTTAAAGGGGTTTTGAGGGTCACTTACTTCTGTTGCCCATTTTGATCCCTGAAGGTTGGTCAGCGTCAGTGGCTACCTGACTAATCTCCCCAAGGTAGGTAGGTCCTTAGTGGACTGTTATATCCTTGGGTTTGGCGTTCAGGGGGCTTCTGAGGTGTGGTTACGCAGCGGTTCCAAACACCCGGTGACACCAGTGCAGGGCCCTGAGGATGGGACACAGGCCCCGGTTGCCTCTGGCGAGTGGCGAGTGGTGGCATGATTCACGTGCTTTCTGGGAACTCTACATCTCATAATTCTGTTATATTCTGTTTGGCAATTTTTGGTCCTTCCGTAGGCAGCCTGGTGACTGCCTACGGAAGGCGCCCCCACGCTACGCAGTGCGTGCTCAAGAGGACTGACCATAAACAGCTGCTCGTGTTTGCTCTTCAGTTGACTACAACAAAGGGACTACCTATCCGTATAGTACATATCTAGCCTTTTTGGTAACGCTCGGAATTTCAGGATATCTGCCTGGCTGATTTGTTATGCCTCACTTCAAGAGCTTGCCAGCTCCTGAGTATATAGGCATTCCCTTGGAAGCGGTTCCCCCCTTGTGGCTTTTTGGCTGCATGCATGCACGAGTGGTAGTCCCAGGCTGTGTGTTCAGCTGAGGATGATGACCAAAAAAACAAAAGTTACAGCTGTCGGACAAAACGCTACTGTGCGGTGGAACTGAAATTACAAGGTTTCATTCTCGCACATTCTGCGCGCAGGCAGAAAAGCGTCTTGGCCCCGGATCTAGGAGGCAGTGACGTAAACGGGAAGCCCCAAGCAACCTGCAGTACATGCCGAAGCATCACTAATTGACTAATTCGATTCATCTGCAGTAACCGACTCCTGCTAGGACTCTGGTAGGAGGCAAAATAGGTATATTCGTGTCTCTCCAGGTTCCATGAGGGTCATTGCTATGGCAACATCCATTCACCGTACAGCTATTTTGGCATCAGCGGTCTAGACAACGACCACTGCTAGCAGTTCATTCACGAGCGTCGGAACAGCGTCGGACATGTTGTTCAATCGAATTCAGTTTGCCTCTGTTTAAGTTTCCCTCTCTCTTCTGGTATCCAAAGGCACATTTCAAGTTATATCCCTGACGGACGAAGCATATTATAAGGCTAAGGACGTCATCACAAGCGCAGCCGCAGAGCTTCCACTATGACTGTGCGACCCACTGCTCAAAGCGACTCCAGCAGGCGGGCAGTTTTGCATATCTGCTTTGGCATGAGACCGCGCTTGTTTCTTGAAGTGCTTATAATTGTTGGCTGCCTGTAAGGACATAAGCGTATTGACGAGCCTTGGTGAACCTGTGGAGCTCAGGAGGCCGGGCGGAAACTTGTGGCTGCAGCCCGTGACGGCAAGTTCCGGGACTGCAAAGAGTTAATGAAACTCCTTCCAACGCTCGACTTTGCAGAGCCCCCAGTACGACCGCCAACATCAGCTTTAAAGTTGCTGTATGTATTCCTTGTGCAGACCAAGTCAGAGTGAAAATAGGGGTGTTTTTCACGGTCCTGGTCCTTTTTTTTGCCTTTTCTTTGAGGCACGAAAAGCAACATAGCGTTGGCATGTAGCACCCCTCTACCTGGTTGTTGCTGGAATGAAGCAACTCCCACCTATGGTGTTTTATCTGTAGTTCTGCCGCACTGCGTTGTGGCACGCTGCTTGTCGCGGCCACGAAGCAATCACACGCCTCCTTCTTGATCGTGGTGCAAGCGTCAATCACCAAGACGTGCGTGGGTCGACAGCCCTACATGAAGCTGCTTTGCACGGACAACAGCAAATAGCTGAGTTGCTTATCGAAAGAGGCGCAAGCCTGGATCTTCCAGATTATGTAAGCTGCTTGCTGCCATTCCACGATGAAGGGAGACACTGGGATACGCTAGCCATACCGCATCCCCACGACTTTCTATTCACGGACAAGGGGCAGCAAATGGACTGGAAAGTGCTATTCTGACGAACAGCATCCGTCGCGTGCCAATGTTCAGGCTGGCGATACCCCCTTATTTCTTGCTGTATATGCACGGCGCATCGAGGCAAGCAAACAGTCTTGAAGCTCACTAACAACATCAACGGAACCGGCATCACACACACCAGCCTAAGAGAGTGAAGGCATTGCTGTCTACCATGAAAGCGTCGCTGCTTCTGCTTGTTATGTATGCTCCCAGATAGTCGCTTTACTGCTGAGCAAGGGAGCAGCAACAAACAGAACCAACAACGTACGAGTGCAGTGAATTATTATTCCACAGAAAAGAATATAGAGAGAGGAAACATCTGTAACCACATGCAATAGTTCTAATGCTGTTGCTTGTGTCGGTTTTGTGGTATTGACGTTTACGGTGGATCAAAAACTCAGGCCGGGCTCACGTGCTTCCACCTCGCAGCTGCAGCTGGTTCTCCTACGCTTGCATCTTTCTTGCTTTACAGAGGAGCGTACACCAACAGGTTCAATGATCAAGAGGACAAAATGCTGGAGAAGGCTCTTCAAAAGTCACACCATATGCCGCTTAACGCACCTAAGCAAACTATTGCCGGCGCGGAAAAAGATGCGAAGGGTTCAACAGACGCCAACATAGCTGAAATCAGTACACCTGGACGCCAGTTAGAAGGAGATGGTCTAGAAGGGCTCGAAGGAGCACCAGAAAACCAAGCACCGTCTACTAATAACGATGAAGCTGCGCAAAACTCTCTCATGAACCCTGCAGGAAGTGGTGAGACGTACATTTGACTTTTTCTTGGCGTACCCAGGGAGGTAATGTAGCTCATTTGCCGTAGCCGACAGGAGTATCGTTCACACAAAACCAGGGAATGTCAAGATGCCAGAATAGCATACGGGGGTTGTATACGTGTAGTAGTCCTCCCGTTGTCTCATATGATGTGGAACTGCAGCTAGCGATCGTAGCGACAATTCGCCGCGTTTGTCTAGTCCATCACTATCTTTGGACGCCTAGATCAATTAATCGAACGTTCAAGGTAGTGAAACCTTGAACGCCCTGCGTCATGAGCATGGGAATCCATAGCATTTCTCTAACTGTAGGAATAGCGTGTAGGTGTCTTGCGAATTGTCGCTAAAATACGTACCGTTTTCTAGCTTCTTACTGCTTTTGCACCTCTTTTGTTGTGGCACAAAGGCACAGCAATATGACATAAAGCCACGGCAGAGCAATATGACATAAAGGCACAACAATATGACATATTCATGTGCAAAAACAACATATACACCCTCAAACTTTTGTACAAAGAGTATTTGCACCAAAATTCCAGGGTGTATATGTTGTTGAAGAGTGGGACCCAGGCGGACCCGAAATGGGTCAGCTGTATCAATGCCAGGCTGCATGAGGGTGGCGCTCTCCAATCTCCAATGACCTCATCAGCACTCGGGCGTTCATTATCTTTACAACAACAGGAGGCAACTCATTGTATTTGAACTGCGGCCATATGCGGTAGTTGCATGTTTGATGCGGGATTGCCAATCCGCAACAGCTTTCTTCCTTCCATACAAGCTAATCTCCAAGGCCTGTCAACAGCTGCTACGGGTGCTTAAGTGGATTGTCATATGATCCTATATCCTTTGATCCTTCACTTTCTTCCTAAGATTGGAATTACTATGGCAGCTGTACTTTAGCTGCATAGCGACTAGGGAGTGCCCGCAGGAGGAATCTAGCTTATGGCGGCGCAGCGTTTACTTACACGTTCAGAATCAGTTGTTTCGCAAGTAACCATGCGACCGGGGAGATTCGTTGGTTGGGCATCTTGGATAGTATTTGAACTATAGCATGACAGCTTTCTCAACAGACTTGACCACCGTGGCCCACCATATTTGGTGTACGGTGCCAACGTAGGTAACGTCATTCTCAAGAATACACGGGTATTCAAATAGTGCACAAATTTGATACATTTTCGTCGTTCATAAAATTAAAAAATTGGTCATTTGTGGATCTGGAGACGGGGAAAAGCTGACTCCACCTGGACTGCGTGCGCACTCTCGTACATCTCCGTCCGACATAACTGAACCAATGAAGAAAATAATGAAAAAATTGCCAGAAAATTAGGAGTTTCCTAGATGTGTGTCACCTACCGTTGAAGGCACCTGGTCCATGCAGAAATGTGGAAATTTGCAGCAGCACTGCTTTAAAGAACAGCAACGGAGAGTGTTTGATTTGGACACCTGCTGCATTACTAATCCACCGGCACCCTACCTGGTTCCTGTATTTGGAGTCAAGCCACCCCCTGAAAGGGTTGTTTCACACTTGACTCCAACTCTGCGACCGATGGGCAAGCAGCACTTCATGAAGCTTCTGTACCCGGAGTTGGCGTTACACATTCGGCAAACTGCAACACGTTTATCATCATGGCTGACTGGGGGGAAAAGTTCGTTGTCATCCAATCGCCGCGGGCTAGTTCTCAACCGATTGCGTTCACATGGGTGAAGCATGTCCTGGGTGTGAGGCTTTCTCTCGTATGTCTTCTGTTGATTGCTTCCAGCTTGTCCTGGCACAGCATTTGCGTCTGTGCAGCTTCCGAACCAACCAGTGTCAGCAATGCCTCCTTGCTAAGCAAGACCAAGCCGATCACTGCTGCATTCACCGGGCTCAGCAAGACAGGTGAAGCAGGTGAAGGAGGCAACTCAGTTTTAGAACCGGCATTTAAGGCTGATACGCAAATATACAAGGCTTCACTTGGCAAACAGGCATTAACCGACTCACCAAAAGTGAATATCGAGGAACCAAATGTGGTTTCCGAGGAGGAAAGTATCGGAGATCAAATGCCTGTCCAACAGCGACCTTCGCTTGCAGTGTTCACCACTAGCGCGAATACAAACATCTCTTTAACAGTCGCCACCTTAGCTGTTTACACAAATGAGGGGTGCCCATATTCCCAGGAAGCACTTAGGGAGGCTCAGGTAGCACAAACGATTGTCCGAAAACATGGAGGCACAATTAATATACGTCATGTGGACATGACGAAGGAGAAAGAACTGGGCAGGCTTTTGGCCATCAAGGCCATGCCATGCCTTAGGTTCTACCGAAATAGCGACATAAGAAGCACAACGTATATAGCTTATGAAGGTGTTGATATGACTGCTGATGAAATTGCCTACTGGATTTTGCAGCAGCTAGGTAAAACAATTCAAATCGCACCAATAGGCCAGGAAACTTTTCGTGTTGCCGCCGTCAAAGGCTCTACCGTCGGTCCTGTTGTGCATGCTTCTGTCCATGAAGGGAGCCCGCGAGCTGCGCTTGTAACATGGCTGTCGACGAACCGGGAGCAACTGCCATCTAAATCCACCCTATTTAATATAAAATATGTAGACCTATCACAACAGGAACAATTTCGTGTTTACAGGAAACGGTTGCCGTTTGATGTGGGAGAGGAAGAATACCTTACTTTGGAAGAACCGCAATGGGAACCTAAATCTATCCTGGCATTGATGCTAGCAGCGGAAAACAGGAAAGTGTTCTATGGGGACAGGCCCTCTCGGATTCTTCTGGGGAAACGGGCGCTTCTTTCTGTCTACGTTAGCCACCACGAAAACTTGCAGGATATTGCATTGCTGTTGATGGAGTTTTACGAAACATACCGTGAACGTCTGGCTTTTCACATTGCCAAAGGCACTCTTAAAGAGGCAGCGAGGTCCCAAGACACATTCAGCCATAGTTGGGGTGGTGCTGTTATCATCGACCAGCAAGCAAACCCAGCGGCCTACCAAAAAGTTACAGGGGTCCTACGGGAGCATTCTCCATTCTCTCAGTATTCCTTATCAATGCCATTCAATTACCATAGCATACAGTTGTTTCTCAAACAATGGAGTACGGGAAATTCGGAACTTCATTTCCGGTCGAATCGCCTAAGTTATACTGAAAAGGAAAGCCATGTTACGGAACTTAATCATTTCCACTTTCTTAAAACACTACTCCAACCAAACCGGGCCCTTCTTGCCGTTTTGTATTATGAACCGGACTGCTCAGATTGTCAAGTATACCTGCAAGTATGGAAGGAGGCGTCTGAACTCTTTAAGACAGCAGAGCATTTGAAGAGTCAGGTTATCTTCGGCCAACTAGACGGCAGCCTTAATGACATCGTTGATTTTGACATAAAAAAGAGGATCCCCTCAATCGTTGTCTACCCAGAGGGCCCAAAAGCTCTAGACAGGCGGTTGCTTTACACCGGGTCTCCCATCGTAACTGATATATTGGGATTCCTAAGCACGCTTGCTGCGAAGCGTGACGAACTCTAGGCCCTTTTTCCGTGCGCGTCTTGCCTGCCGGAGCAGAGAGGGGACTTCTGTGAGACCTTTCCAGCTTAGGCTGGTGGCCTTCCTGTCATTCTTTAGTTTAAGCAGAGCTGTATTTTCCATGCTGTGGTACTTAGCGCTTAGATTGTCGGAGTGAATGAAGAACTTCAGTGAAAGTAAATCTCCGAGGAAGATTATGGTGAAAGAGGCAAAACATTCTAAATATGGGGACTCTGACCCTTCGCTCAAGTGAAGCAGCAGTTAAGCGAAAATGGTGAATGAGTGAAGTGCGTTTCCTACAATAATTTTCGTCAATTTCTTGGCTTTTGGCTAAGCGTGATGGATGTGTCATGTTTGGCGCTTCACTGAGGAAGTGGAAAGCCTGCGTAAGGGAGGAAAAGTTTAATCGCGTAGCGTTGTAGCGTTGCAGTGTCCAAACAAAGATAAGCCACAACCAACTCCAGCAGCAGTGTCACCAAGCAAAACTGAGGAAGACAAATGAGTCCTTCCACTTCTACAAGTTGCGGCTGAGAGGCACAGCCCACTCTGCAGGACAGCAGTTAGCGTCCTGGACTACGGCAGCTGCCCCACATACCGTCTTTGTAGAAGCCGGCGTGAAGTCTGTCCGGTTGAAGAGACCACTTGATTTGGGAAGGCAGTTCGAGGTGAATTAAGCCCATTCACTAATCAAATCCTTTCCCACCCCACTGAGTAATTGGGCTGTTGAACCCACCTGCTCTCACAAGTAGCATTGTTGTCAGGTTGAGTGACACTGTATATGGATTTATCTAGGGATTGTGCCTGAAGGAGCTGATATCCCCAGGGGGGGTTGAAAAGCGTATGCGCAGTCAGATGTGAGCCTCGTTTTAGTATTTTCTGCCGCCGTCTCGTACGTGACGCTGTGACACAGCAGCAATTAAAACGAGAATCCTGTCTCACTGCACATTCCCGCTGCAATATGGTACACAACCCACGGCGTATGCTTGCCCTGCGGCCTGCGATGCTTGGAGCGCGCACTCTCTGTTTCTTCCGGGGACTATTGCGAGCTCCAATTGAGCCAAATAGCTTGGGAATCACACGTGATATTAAACGATTTTAATGCATTCTAAACTCTAGGCATTCTGAGCTCAGCAACTCAAACACCTTGACCTTTAGTGCAGGGCTTAGCCTTCCATGAGATGCATTCCACCTTCCTCTAACCCTATATCCGAAGTAACCCCACATTTAAGCAGAAGCAGCTCTTGTTTGCTGCATACATGAATTCGGTGCATCGACCGAATTCATGTATGCAGCAAAATGCCATCTGTTTCTCCCCCCTTGCAGCCTGCATCGTGTGCCCCTATCGGTCGTGTGTATGGGCAAATTTAATTGAATTTCCTTGGTGCAGTTGCTCCGCTGAGGAAACCTCCTTTTGCTTCTGTTAATGCTCAGCGTTGCCTCCACCCTGTGGCTAACGAGTTACTAGTGCGAAATGTTGAAGAACAGTCGTTGAGCCATCCGCACCGCCTCCTCATGTGAAAAGGTGATATATATGTCCATATGTGTTCCAGAACCTGGAGGCTCTCCAAAAGTTCGGGTTTGACAGCGTTCCGCTGCTTTTGCAGCTTCCATTCCGGGAACGTATTCATCCGGAGATTGGCGCATCCTGGACCAGCAAAAGGACCTTCCCGCTCCCTCCACTGGTGCATTGACCCCTCGATTGCCTGCGTATCATCTGCTTTGCGAAAAGTGAAGTGAAGATGGAGCGATGTCCACCCGTGCTGTGGCACAACGAAAGTCGCCCTTGAAGTTCGTACTGCTTCACCCGTTGCCCATTGTTGAGCTTGCCTGTAGACTCACGACAACGTAAGGGCTAGGCTCAACGTAATTTTGAACCGAAATGATCAGTTAGAGGAAACAGTAACTGACAGATCGTCGCGATAGTGGCTCAGCGGCAGCGTTGTCGATAACATTGATGTACTTCAACGTGAAGCCGTACCACGGAAGGCGGGAAAACCACCGCACAATTATTTTACTATCATAGTAGTGCTTGCCATATAAGTGGCGTTGTCACACTTCTTCTACTTCCCACAAGAGCGTGCACACCGTGGTCTTCGTGGAGTTATGTGATAGTAACAAGGGAGGACTGGTTATCTTCTCGAATTGTTGAATTTGTGAGACTACGTCAATCAACTGTTCTGCCATTGCAATTGGAGAGTCTGCTGCCTCGGCAGGGGGGGTCGAAGCAGATACAGGAAAGATGTAGTCCATTTGGCGTAAGCCGGAGCCCCTGGACACTTCGGAAGTTCCTCAGCCTCGCAACAAACCACGACAACTAAAGCGCTGCTTAGTCACTCATCACCGGCTCTGTAAAAATGGCAAAGAACCCTTTTAGGCGCATATTTAAGAATATTTACTAAGATTTCCTTCTTATACGCAACTACTCTAAGATATTTCACTGTAGGATTCCTGTTTTCTCCCTTCTTAATCACTGTGTTAGTACTATTTAATTATACTTTCAGAGAAGTCGGTACAACCTCTGCTTCTATGGTATCATCAATATGTTTAGGTGTAATTAGTACAGAGTTACTACTTTTTATTAGTTTATTCTGGGGTGCTTATAGCA